GTCCAGCCCTAACTTATCTCTGGAACGCCGAGCCGCTCCATCCTGTTTGCTGAAGCAGCTTCCTGCCTCCTCTCCTCTCCTCTCCTCTCCTCTCCTCTCCTTGCTCTCATTTTTGATGCATTGTTTGTGAGGTGGGCAGCGAGACACAATGTTTGTTTGTTCTTTTTACCGCCCACTGTGGCAAGCTTTCCCCTTTTGGCTTGGGATGAGCGGCACTTCCAAACGGACCCGGCCGTTCCCCACAGCACCACCCGCTGCAGCAGGCCACGCTGCAGCAGGCCTCCCTGCGAATTAATGGTGATCAATGATGCAACAGATTGGGCATGGCAGAACGAGGAGAGAACTTTTAAAGTGTGAGCTGCACAGCTTTGCTGTGTGATCTGAAGGTGAAGCAGCGATGCATCCCTGCAGGATGCGGCGGCTGCATGGATCATCTTTAACTGTATGGACCACCAGAAGCGACTGCTTGTTCACACACCTCCACATCTACTTCCTGTGGATCAAGCAACAGGCTGTGAACATAAGGTTGAGCTTCTTTAAATGTTAGAGGAAGTAAAACTGTTCAATTCACTTTTCAACGTTTTTCCTGCTTGATTTCAGTCAAAATATGTTAATTGCAAAGACTGTTACTGTAAAAACTCCAAATTTTACCAAATATTTTGGTTTAGTTTCTACTGCAAATATCATTTTATACCCAGAATGAGACAAACTAACAAAAAACATTTCATCAAGATATCACAGCTTGATTTCAGTTGATTATTATTAAATAGTTTTAAAGTGCTGGTTCGCTGGCAGATTAATTCACTGTTTTAAATGAGTAAAATAAAATGCCAGTATTACAAGAACCTTTCATCAACATTAAGGAATTATTGACTAAAACAAGCTCCTCTGTCTTGCTGAAAAGTTAAGTTAGTTTTAAGTGTACTAAAATATTTTCACAGGACAAAACGGCTTGGTGAGATTTTATCTTTGTAATGCGGACGCTGCCTGTAACCAGGTTATTTTCTCTGCATCCGTTTATCTTTTGCAGTTTAGTTGCTAAATCTTTTAGAAAATGGTAAAAGATTTGGAGATGATTTTCTGAATATTCGGCAACAGTGTGACGGTTATGATGAGCTGCAGAAGAGAAATCTGGTTCAGGTTTTTGTTTTTGCTCAAACAAAATGTCAGATGAGTTCCTGAGTGTCGTTTCTCCTGCTTCTCCTTTACAAGCAGCTTTTCAGTAAATCGTCGTTTTCCTCTGTCCTGTGGGGCGTTTGGGAAGCCTCCCTGCAGAAACATCTGCCCTGCTGGAGGCGCCGGCGGCCCCAGCTGATTCCAGGTCAGCTGTGGGAAAGCCCTCCGGACCGATCCGGGTTCTGCTGGCCTGAGCAACGCCCCGGTCCGAGCCGACGGAGGCAGGAATGTCGCTCCGCTCCCCCTGCTTTTGTGTCTCTGTTCTGCCCCTGGCTTCGCTCAGAGGAAACATTCCTTTGGTGGGCTGCAGGGCCGGAGGCGGCGGGGGGGTCCGGGCTGAAGCTGGGGGTGGGGTGGCCTGGTTCTGCACGGCAGCAGGAGAACGGCTAGCAGAGCTCACATTGGGTCTGGGTCCCATAAAGCTGCAGAACTCAGAGCTTCAGCTGCCGATCTGATCGTTCACTCAGGATTAGCGAGCGGCATTTCCTACCGACCAAGAATTTCCTGCTGGTCGGCAGCCAGCGGCCTGCTGATGCCGTTAGCTTCCACTCCAGTTTTATTTCTTTTTTTTGTTGTTTCGGCACACAGTCGGTTTCTCTGTGCGTAAAGAATGTCGAGCTCGCTCTGGTCGGCGCGTCCTGCTTGAATCCTGGAAAGAGTTTGGGCTTTGTTGGAAAGCAGCAACACAAATGGATGTTTGGTTGGGCGTGGCAGCAGAGGAGGAGGCTTGATTGGGTTTAAAGTGAAACCAGGTGTGCAGCTTTTTTAATTTAATGCAGAAAAATAAACCGAGGAGCTTAAACCAGGGGCTGAAGCAATTAATCATGATTAAACGATTAATCAGCTGATTTAGTGATTGATGAATCATTAACTGGAGTATAGACTCACAAAAGAAAAATTACTAAAAGAACAACATATTGAGAGCAGTAATAAAACCAAAACTTTACAAAAATAAACATTTTGCTGTTAAGATACAAAAAATTCCTGTAGATGTTTTACTTAGATCCCCTCAAGTTGCAGTTTTAGCTTCATCAGGTTCAATTTCTGTAAAGAAAATAAAATGTGCTGTGAAGCACCGTTTTCTATCAGTTAGTCCAAACGGTGATCAGATCTACAGTGAGAACAGAATCACATTCTAGAGAAATAAACAGAATTGTTTGCTTTTTTATTTTTTGTGCTAATATTGTACAGAAAGGCTTCAAAGTCCAAGAGAAACATCTGCAGAATCCACCAATTTAAAAAATTTCATTAATTGACTAATCGGCAGTTTATACACTTATTGATTAATCGTCAGTTGATAGATTAATCATTTGCCAAAATAGATGGTCAGAATATTTGATGGATTAATTGCCATGATAGTCTGTACTTATTGATTAATCCTCAGAATAGTGGATTAATCTGTTACTCATCTAATTCTTCTGATCCACATCCTGTTTTTGTGCTGCAGTCTGTGGTAAATAAATCCTTTTTTATTGGATTATCAACAGATGTTTCACACTAACGGCCGTTCCTGCTGCAGCAGCACTGTGATTTTTAGCCTCAGTGTTTTACGGCGTAGTGATGCATCTCGTCTGGAGATGGCTCAGCATCTCTCGTCCGTCTCCATGGCTGCAGAAAGCGCTCGGCGTTTCTATCTGCAGCCTCTATTCTGAGCCTCTCGGCTCTGCAGGGCTCTTTATTTTTGGAATCGGCTGTTCGTAGCGCCGCTGTCGTCCTGCAGCTGACTGAGAGCAGCAGAGCTCAGCACCAACCTCTGCTTGGTGCCTCACCTCAGAGCTTAAACATAGACCTTCCCACACTCCTAACACGTTGCTCAGCACCCTGTGAGGGCGGTTTGTAAGGTGCTGCTTTGACGTGAGAGGATGTATTTATGCACTGTTTGTGTGATTTGGGTTTTGGCGCAGAATTGCAGAACTAAATGTCCGAAAAACCTCATTGTTGAAATCAGCAGGCGAGAAGTTGAGGGGGAAGCGTCGCTGCAAAACAAACTCCAGCATTGTGTTTAACTTCTTCCTCAGTTTTAACAACATCTATTTATATTTAAATCACCAAAATGCATTTTAAACTTCACTGTTCCAGAAATGAGAAGTAGTTTGTCTGCAAGCATTCAGTGAAATATTCTGAACGCAGCTTTTGTTTTTATGCATGTCTGTTCGTTTAAAGGAGAAGTTAAAACAGACGCAACGTGTGAAAAAACTAATCCACAACTACATGCATTAATATTTTCATGATATTTTAAGCTGCAAACATCGACTGACAGTGTGAGACGGATTCGGTTTTAGCATGAGGTCGGCCTGTTTGGCGCGATCACGCTGCATGTTTTTAAAAAACCCCAGCAGGTGCAGCTTTCTGGAGCAGAAACGGAGCGAGCGGATCATTCAGTCGGGTCTGAGCTGCAGAGTTCAGTCCAGAGAGACGAAGCAGACGGAGATCAGAGCGCTGATTATATGAGGCTTTAATGAATTTATGTTGCTGCAACGACTTCACTTTCCACTTCTGCAGTTAATCCTTTTTATTCTCAGCTAACGGCTGACGACTTCAGGGTGGAAAATTACACGTTTGCACCGTCAGCAGATTCACTGTAGGAATTCACTGCAAAAACACAAAATCTTACCAAGTATTTTAATCTTGTTTTTAGTGCAAATATATTACACTTGGAAAAAAAATGCACAAACTAACTTGGAAGTAACTTTTCAGCAATATGCAACAGCTTATTTTAAGTAAATAATTCCTTAATATAGATTAAAAAAGTACGAGTTCTACTCTAACATGTTTTGTTATAAGTGAAATAATCTATAATCTGCTGGTGGAACTAGAACTTTTTCCCTCCAGCCCTGTTTGATCCGCTTCAATCCGACTCCAGTCCGTTTGCCTAGTCAAAGTCCGGTTCATTTGAGAAGTGAATGCTAAGCTAACTCCGGTTCACCTACAAACCTCGGTCTGGTTTCAGTTGAAGTGAACTCTGGTTCGGTTTGAATGTGAACACCAAGCGGACTGGAGACCGCTCCAAAAGCAGGAAGTAGACTACATCGCAGGGTATTCTGGGTAAATACAACCAAAACAAACGCAGTAGCTTAGCGCTAACGGGAGAAATTATGACTCAACTAAAGCCAACGACTAAAGAGTAAATTGACTAAATTGTAGCTCTGCAGCAGACGTTTCTTACAGACTGATACGAGACAAAAACGAAGTAACAGACCCTGAAAAGATATGAATAGTTATTTCATGTGACTTATTTCAGTCACATGAAATAAGTCTAGATTTTGCTATGATTTTTATTTTTATTTCTTGGGATTTCAACCGCTAAAATCCGACGCCTCCATTTTGGTTTCTGTTTGGTGAAGAAGGAAGTTGCTCTCAGTGTCTTCAGAGGTTTTTGTCGTTTTCTTCAGTGGTTCTTGGTGCAGCGCCCCCACAGGCCAGGAGGGGAACAGGTTGGTTTGACTCAGAGCAGATCAGACCAAACCTACAGGACTGTCGGGAGGGAAAACAACCCAAACAGAGCCTTTTTGTCTCAGTCTTGTTATGGTTGGTGAAATGTTTGATCATGAAGAAAAACCAGCTGATTGTTGATGTTCAGTCCAGCCAGTCTGACTCCATTAGAACATGCGAGTTGTAATGGTGATGTTTAGTTGTAATGATCTGTGTCATTACTCCGTCTTAAGCAGTAATTATCCCGACAGTAACGAGACGAAGCGCCTGAGCAGCACCAAACCAGACGGGCCTGTTCTCTGTCCGTCTTCTTCTCTTCCTCCTGTCACTTCTCTTCCAGCGGTTAGCTTCGTCACTCAGCGCTCGCCAAACATCCCGCTGCTGGAACGCCAACGGCACGGAGCAAAACGAGCGCATCTGAGGTGTGATGTTTAACGGCCAACCCAGAGTAACCCGCTTGAAACGGAGATCATTTCTCCTTATTCCTGTGTTTTAGTCAAAGTGAAGCAGAAATGATTTGAGGGAGTTTGATATTTTGGAGTAACGCTGCTGTTCTGCAGCTCAGTCGGCTGGTGCTCTGCTCGTACGGCCACACCTAGACGGGTTCTTCTCCATTCAGGGCGTGTTGGGGAAACGGCCTGTAAAGCCTCTTGTGCTGTGGAGCCGCGGCTCAGCAGGCCAAACCTCTGAGCTGTGATATTACACCAGAATCAAACCCACAACTTGTCAGGGTTTCTGTCTGCTGAGAAACAGGAGGTTTCCAACACTTCCTGGTCAGTTTTAGTCCAAATTTAGGAACTTTTCTGACATGAATTTCAAAATGTTTATCATTTGGAGTCTAAAAAATGATACAGATTATAATCTACAACAAATGACAACATTTAGTTGTCATCAAGAGGCCATTTGACTCTGTATTATTATTTAGACTAAATATTTTTCCATTCATTCATTCATTCATTCATCATCTGTACCGTTTTTATCCTTGCAGAGGTTCTGGTGCCCAGTCTTTGGGTGAAAACCGATAACTTAACCTAACGCTCAAATGATTAATTGTGATTAATCGATTATTGAGATAATCGTCAACTAAGTTAGTAACTGATTAATCGTTAACTTGACTTGAATACAGACTCAAAAATAGGACCATTGATGAAAGAACAACGTAGACAGAGCTGTAATTAAGTCAAACTGTACAAATAAACAGCTTCACCAGTTTAAATTCTGTTAAAAAATTTATTACATAAGTTTTTCATCCAATTATTAATCGATTAATCAGTTTCACTACCACTAGATCAGCATTGCACTGTGTTAAGTCAAACATAAAGAGTTGAGCTTTGTTGTTGAAGCATTTTTAACTGCAGATGCATCCTTAGTTACAAATAAGGCGTTCACTAAATGAATGCTATCTTATTGCATTTTATTCAATAAATGTATTTTTCTGTTGCTTAATAAAAGGAATTTGTTTCTTCACATTTTTTATGCATTTCTTGCACAAAAAGACTTGAAAGAGATCTGCAGAATGTGACATTTTATTTATCCGATTAATCGCTAAGCGAGCGATTAATCGATAACTTGTGGTGTGTTTTGAGCCGAACCCAGCTGGGCCATGGCGGCTGGTTCTGGAGCAAACGGACCTGATTCAGGCTCCGTCTCTGATTTCTCCTCCTGAATCATTTAGCAGGTTGGAAACGGGGCGAAGATGCACAGACATGACAACATTTATTGTTTTATGAAGCGTGGATGAACGCCGCTGCCGTCTTCATCTGCGGTGACACCAGAGCCGGATCGTCCTGCAGGACTTGAGTCCCGACTGAGGCCCGTTCGCTTCAGAACCGCCCCGCTGGGCGTCGGTGGAGCTCGTGTTGGTTTCAGGCCACAGAGGAGTCGCGTTAAATATTTAGCGGTCGTTCCCAGCCGTCAGGTTCCTCGGAGCTCATCAGATTGTCCCTCGATGCGCTCGGTTAAAGAAACGGGAACCGGGCTCTCTGGTTCTGCCTTTGGTTGTTTTCAGGAATCATCTGGTGGGACGGGTTGGTTTCTGTCTGCTCTACTTTCTCTGGGGGAACACTGAGACGTTCAGCTCTTTGTTTCTGTTTCACAGAGGAATAAAACCCTCAGGCTCCTCCAGAAATCCATAAACATGCAGTGAAACCCCTTAAATGAAGCAGCAGCTCAACATTTCCAAACATTCATGAACATTATTGTTCTGGATAAACAAAGGAAGACAGTGTTATCATGATGCAGCCTGTAAATGTCGGTTTGTTTACATTATGCATGCAGGCAGACAAAGCTTTACTCCCATGCATGATAATGTCTCCCTGCAGGTTAGGATTAGGGTCATTACGGATAAATGAGTAGATTAAACATTTATTTCACATATTTGCAAGAAAAACTTGAAAACTCAGATGCTAGAAAGTTGAAAATGTGCAAGAAAACGATAATTTTTCATGATTATGAAGACATAAATGAGCCAATTTAACACTAAATTTGTAAGAGAAGAAAATGTCAGTTTGCTGAGATGATGCAGACAGATGTTTGTGATTAAAAATAAAAACGTGCCAGAAGTCCTCCAAGATTAGGAGAGTCGCATCTGGATCAGGTTCTGGTTCTTTTCTGGATCAGAACAAGTCTGTGGTCCAGGTGAGAAAAATATATTGGTTTTAATATTGATTTAAGCCTTTTAACCCTCATTTTTAAAAACAATTTATTGCCAATTTTCAACTTTCGTGAATCAGGGCGAATTAGGGTGACTAAAGGGCGATGATTGGGTGGAGCGGTCGTGTCTGGGAGCCGTGGCAGAAAGGGGAAGGAAGGCTCTGAGGTTTCTGTGGTTTTTCAGCTCCTCTCCTGCCTTTAAATAAAGCCGCTGCCGCCGCAGCAGCAAACGGTGGGCGAGTCCTCCACGTCGGGCCCGAAACGCCGACGGATCACTGCGTGTGTCACTCCGGGTGTTAATGGACCAGATGGGGAAACCTCACTGGATGCTGAATCAAAGAGCAGAGAGTTCCTGCTGCTTTACTAATACAAACACAGATGTTTCTCAATGTTTTAGTATCTGTAGAAGAGCCAAAATCAGAGCTTGGTAACCAATTGTTCTGACGAATAATCAAATGAAAAATGGCACCTTCTGCAGATTTTTCTTTTAACCACTTAAACCTTTCATTATGCAATATTAAAAGATGCAAGTAAACAATTCTATTCTTTTTTTAAATCAGGAAATTAACATTTTAATGCTTGACATGCAATGACATTTATTGGAAATGGCCATTTTATTTTAAAAAATCTGTCTACTCAATGATTAATCGAATTCAGATACTTTGATTTCAAAGGGAAATTAAATAATTTGTATTAATTCAAAGTCATCAGTTATTGTGGATAGCTGTTGGCAGGAAACTGCTCTTGTAGCAGTCTGTATTACAGTGAATCTGAAGAAGCCTCTGACTGAAGACACTGTTTCCCCATAGTGTCATGAAGAGGATGGACAGGATGTCCATAATTTTATAGATTTTATGAAGAATCCTCCCTTGCGCCATCATCTCCAGAGGTCCCACAGTCGTCCCCAGAACAGAACATTAGGTGGCGATTATTCAAGCAATCAATTAATCACGATTAATCGATTCAGTCCTATCTAAAAACTGCTGTTCAGCAGTTTCGGGGATTTGCAAAGCTGGTAATTGTTTACGGTGCTTAAAGCTGAATGTATATGCAGAACTTTAATGCCTGGTTGGTTTTGTATTTTAAATGTCAACATGGGAACAAAAGGCATGGAGTGGAGAAGTGCAGCCATTGTTTGCTGGATAAACTGTCACAAAGCTGCAGCTTTTCCTGCAGCTGCACCGATCTCCATGTGGGTCAGGGAAGACCTGTGCCCTCACGATCCTGTCTGATCCAATCAAAGCGAGCCTGCAGGGATTACCCGGCTGCCGCTAGCAGAGACGGCTCCCCTGACTCACCGCGCTGTAGTAAACGCACGGCGACACTCGCGACCCCGCGCCGGCTTCACTTCATCAACGCCTTCAAAATGATGTCGTTTTTTTTTGCTGCATTCACAAACCACACTGAGCTGAATAAAAACTCAGCTCAACCGTCCAATTTGTTCAACCTACAGAAGCATTTTAAGCCTCCTAAAAATAAGTCGCCGTGGTCTTGCGTCGCTTAGCAACAACCCCCGAAGCTGCACTGCCATTCAACTGCTGCGACTGTGACCGAAGTCTGAGTGAGGATTTCCTTGGTGAAACTCCCGCCTGATGAGAAGCTGTCACAGGAGTCAGAGAGTCGCCGAGCCGAAGCAGCCGGTGTCGAGTTATCTCACGACCCGGTTCGGTTCTGAGAAATGGTACTGGAGAGCAGGAAGCAGCCGAGGTGTGAGGCTGCAAGAGGAAGTTGCACTCTGTGTTTTTACTCATCACAGGTGGCAGCTCTGCTGCAAAAGCTGCAAAATGAATCCTATTAGTTCAAAGGTCAAACCACGTCCAACTGCAAAAACGCAGAAGATAACCAAGAATGTTGGTCTAGTTTCTAATGCAAACATCTCGGCACACATTGATTAAGAGGATCGTTTCACTTTAACAAGTCGTTTTTATAATGTTATAAGGGAAATAATTGCTGAAAAGTTACTTGTAAGTTAGTTTTGTCTTATTTCAAATGTATGAAGACATTTGTACCAGAAACTAGACCAAAGTTTCTTGGTAAGGTTTTGTGTAACTTCTAGAAAACGTAATTCCTAAGGATACAATCTTAAAAGTGTTCTCAATTAGCTGTTTTCTGAAGGCCTTTTAATGTAGAGTTGCTGCTTTGTTGACCATTTTCAGTCTTTTTCAGCATCAACATGTATCATTTAAAGAAAAACTAACAGAAAAACTCGGGTTCCTCCACTGAGTTTGGTGCCTTTTTTTAAACTGACTGGTTGAAAGCCAGAGCTTTTTGTTTTGTTTTTAGGGCTGGATCCA